CTCAAAAAGTGACACTCTTTGATGCTTTCCGGAAGAATTGTGAAATTATTTTGATATGACAGGTCTAACTCTTTCACATTGGCAAACCAAGTGAGACCTATTCGAAGGAATTCATCTGACATTTTGCATTCTTCAAGGTAAAGTTGTTCCACATTTGAGCTCACTTTTTCCTCACCTTCGTCCTGTTTAGATAATTGCAACCCGACACATTTTTGAACACTCAACTGCTCAAGTTTTCGTAACAAAACTATGCTACTTGGGAGTTCTACTTGGCTAAGTTCATGCAAGTCGTATCTCTTGTAGCTGAGTAAAATTTCGAATCGAACATGGCAATTTTTTAATGGGAGTACCCCACAAATAAAGCTTTGTTATATTCTCCATCTCTCCTGATATTTCTGGAAATCTTTCAAGACTGGAGCAATATGAAAGTTTGAGTGCTTTAAGAGAGGTCAACTTGATAGGTGGAAAACTCTTGAGCTCGCTGCAACCATAAACATTCAAGATTCTAAGTTTACCCAGGAATCGAACTGATTCATGAATTTTAATCAAATTCTCACAGTATTGAAGTGATATTTCTTCTAAATTGGGGAGACCAGATACATCAGGTATCTCGGTTATATTTTTACACTCGCTGAAATTCAAAACTCTTATATTCGTGAACTTCTGAACAAAAAAAAGAGAGAGAGAGAGAGTAAGAAATAAGAATAAAATGAATCACTTAAAATGAATTTATTAATATACAAGATTAGATAAAAGAACCTATTATACTTGCCTTCAGTAAATTAGCAAATTCGAGTGTCATTAAAGAACTCTGTGGTAACTTGAATATATCAAGTTTCATTGGATCGAAATTAGATGATAAAGACTGTGAAGGAAACCGCTACCAATTCAGCACTCTCAAACTCTTTGGAAAATGTGTAGGACCTTCCAAAAAATGACCATTTCTAATAATAAGTGTTTTTAGGTTTGTCATCTTCTTGAAGGCCTCTCAATCCCAGGTTACTAATTCAGATTTAGGGAAATGCAGATATATGATTTAATGTTACTAGTTCCCTTTTGAACACAAAAATACAACAGTCAACCACAAAACATACATGTGCGTGTGCGTGTATGCATATGTAAGACATTGACACATATTTTAGAGAAATTTACTAATTAAAAAAAAATTGTCATGAGCATATGTACATACAATAAATGACTTGTCATGAGCATATAATAGTCTAAAGATTTATCAAGAATCAAGATGAAAAAACCAGACCAACCATATGAGTCTTACCGTATTGTTTTCCAAAACTTGAACTATTTCTTCACAGAACCATAACCTACTTCGGTTCCCAGGTTCTTTAGGTGATTCTAGTCAGACAATTTCTTTACCCATGTCCTCTGCTAAGTCATGTAGTGTCACCTTACCATCCGAGCAAATTTTTATGAGAGATTTTTCAACCAACACTCTAATATGATGTTTCATGCAATTACCATGATGAGCGCGAAGTATATCTTCAACCTCTCTTAATTGATATCCTTTGTAGCAACAAGAAATGTCAAGAAAAACATTTTGCTCAGCTTCATCTAAAGCATCAAAACTTACTTTAAGTACCTCTTGAATTTCTTTGTTAGGAATTTTTTTTATACTGGTCTAACGCAAATTCCCATTCTTCTATACTTTTTTGAGACAAACGGGAACCTATTACTTCCAAGGTCAATGGAAGGAAAGAAGCATAAGTTACAGCACGGATCAAAATGTTCTCGTAACTTGTATCAACTTCATAATTTTTAAAAGCATTCCGCCTAACAATTCAAGAGCATCTTTCTCATTTAACCCGTCTACCTCATATATTTTTTCAACCTCATGAAGTGCTAGCAGATGTTTGTCCCGAGTGGTAATGATGACTTTGCTACCGGGACCAAACCAATCAGTTCCTCCGACCATATGGCGTAGCTGCTTCTGTTCGTCAACATCATCAAGAATCAACAGAACCTTCTTCCAACCTAGCCTTTGCTTTATTATTGAAATTCCTTCATTGACACTTGTAAATGTAATATCCTTCTCTCCAACTAGTTTAGAAAGAAGCATTTCCTGGAGATATTTTAAGCCGTGTTTATTTGAATTTTCTCTCACGTTCTCAAGAAAACACAAACCATCAAAACGGTCCGCAATCAAATTATAGACTGCTCGAGCAAGCGTTGTTTTACCTATCCCCCCAATCCCATGGATCCCTACCATGCGGACTCCAGGAGAGCTGACATCCAAAAGCTTGATTACATCTTGCACTCGAGACTCCAGGCCAACAGGGTAATCAGCAACATATAAAGGAGCACGATTAATCTTTATGGAGACCTCCTTAATGATTCTATCAATAAACACATTCATATCCATCCCTGTCCAATCATAGAAATACTAGTAAAATCATACTATATTAAATGCATCCTATATAAGTCTTGAAGATACTTATATTATTATATTATTATCACAATTCAAAGTGTTTGATATACAACGAAATAACTAGTTCAAGGTTAACAACAAGCAGCGTTTATGTTCTCTTTAAATTTTAAGGTTGAATAATTATTACACTTAGAAAAATAGAAGATACCCGTGTTTGAAATGATAGCCGGATAAGTTCGCTGCTTGAAACAGAGCCATCGTCCAATTTTGGAGCTTCTCGTTGACATCCTTGAACCTCTCCTCATGAAGAGTCTGTGCTTCTTGATAGCTACCTCTCTGATGCCTCACATGAGAAGGATCCACGTCATAAAAAACCGGCAAAACCAAGCGACCCTTTTGTTTGATGCAGGCAATGATGTTGACAAGTTCATCTAAACAAAAAGTGTAAGATGCATAGTTCTCAGAGAAGACGATGATGGCAGTCCTTGAGTTTTCAATTGCGGTGAAAAGTGATGGCGTGATTGAATCCCCTCTTTGAAGATCCACGTCATCAATGAAGGTGCGGATTCCCCTGTCGTAAAGTGCTTTGTAGAGATTGCCGGTGAAGCCAAAGCGAGTATCTTCTCCTCTAAAGCTGAGAAACACATCATAAGCAAAGGAAGACGCTGCACCTGCCATCATACACTAAATTTACACTGAAATGGATTCTAATCCTTAATCCTTATGGTTGTTGTGTGAGGATGGAGCTCACTTTTCCTCCGCTCGAACTTCCCCATTTCGTTTTTTAGGCGTTTGGAAACAAGAATATGTGATCAAATCTATGGTTGAATTGGAAATGGAGTGGTACCTTCTCAGTTGCTTCGTTACATTTATTTAGATATTTACGTCTCATTAATTATTATTTTTTAATTTTTGGGGTTTAGAATAAAAAAATTAATGAATTTATCAAAAATAAATAAATAAATGTTACTTTAGTAAAATAAATGTTATCATAGAAAAATAAAAAATTTAAAATATTCTTTATTTTCTTCTAAATCCCTTTTTTCCCTTAAATAAACTATAGAAAATATGTGATGGAATCTACTAAAAAAAGTAAGAGAAAGAAAGAAAAAAATCATCCACTTTTTATATATGCACGAGATAATTTTGTCATAGACATATTTCCCAATAAACTAAAACCATTACAAATTTGTCTTTCTAAACTTTGGTGTTTGTACGTTTTTGTAAAATGAAAATGATGTAGTGATTCAATTACATTTATTGGTTGTATTTGAAACAAAATGACGATTCTTTCTCTAATTATGTTTGTGACAATGAATTCTCTTATAATATAATTAATCATCCAATCATAATAATAATAATCTCAAGTCATAATATAATTGTTACAAACATTGAAGGAAATAATAATAAACTAAGAAAAAATAAAAAGTAGACTTAGTCAATACAACTCAATAGTTCCATACCACAAACACAAGAAGAGGGCGTTTGTTAGAAGAACTTTTTAGGATATCCGAAAAATTGAGAGTGGTAATTTTATTTATCCACAATTGATACGAGATTTTTGAAAAATTTGCAAGGAATTATTTTGTGGGTAAAATTTTCTGAAATTACCATCCAAAAATACCACTTAGGGGGTGGTATTCTATAATTCCCATGGCAAGGAAAAATTTAACATAATCAAACATAGCATCAAGAAAATTAATCCAAAATTTTCGACAATATTTTGACCTACCAAATAATTTTTTGGTAACATTTTCGAAAAATTCATTTTTCACCATATTCCTAAAAATCGTGATTCTCGGGTAAAATAAAAAATTTCTTCTACCAAACGGCCCCTAAGTTCCAGAAGACCATAATCACAAGATGGATTAATCAAATAAAAAAATATTTTAAGAGATATATAATATAGTTATCTATTATTTGGAAAATTTAAAAATACATATTTATTTTCAAGAAAAACTTTAGGTTAGATTGAGTTGAAATAATTAACTTGACAACCCAGTAAATACGTTATGGATTAGTTCAAATCAGGTTCGTTGGGTTATCTATCAAACTAGACCGATAATCAAATGTCAAAACTTTTTAAACCTTAAAGCAGACTATGTCCTCTTTATCGTCAGCATTGGTAACTCTAACTAAAATAGAATTGACAAAGTACTCACAAGAAGGATGTGAACGCGTAGACACACGCGCGCGATTGTTTTCTCTGTGCTAGGGTTTTCTTACAATTTGCTTTTATTCTATGGAGATCGCTGATGGAGATCAAGGATCTAATCAGGAGGATGATAGTTTGAAGATCGTGAAAGGTAGGAGCTTGCTAGAAGAGGAGAACTCTTCCCCGACGGGGAAGAAACTGAAAGGGGAAACACCGGATGACACTACAATGGATGAGGAGATGCATGAGGATCTCGCTGAGGTTGTTGTGGGTCAAAGCCCTAAAATCGGGTCCACCGAGGAGAAGATGATGGACGCAATTGGGAACCCTCGTGTGAAAGTTGTATCCTATAAGGATAAGCTTCTGCGCTTGAACGGGATCGGAGGCCTACCAGATGAGGAGGATGATAATTGGGTATCGTTACAGAAGAAGGAAGATGAGGAAGCCTTACTGTTGGAAGGCATGGGACAAGCTGGGGAAGATGATCCCCTGTGCCCAAGACTTATTCTCTCAGCTGAAGAGCATAAAAGGGATTGTGAGCAGTGGCGTAAGGCTCTGATCATCAAGTTGTTGGGGAAGCGAATTAGCCCGCGGTTCCTGTTGACCAGGTTGAGGAAGAGTTGGAATCTGGTAAGTTCTTTCGAAGCTATTGATCTCGATAATGGTTTCCTGTTCCTGAGATTTCAGGAGGATGGTGATTACCGTCATGTTTTGGAAGAAGGGCCCTGGATTGTTAATGACCACTGTGTGGTTGTCCAAAGGTGGAGGCCCTTCTTCGATCCGTATGATGAAAGTGTCACGAAATTGGCAGTTTGGATCAGTGTTCCAGGACTCCCAATTCAACTGTACAAGCTTCGCACCTTGTGGCGCATTGGGAATTTCTTTGGCCGTACTCTCAAAGTTGATAGGAACTCTCTTAGAAAGAGCGACTTGGGGGAGGATCTTATTACTGAGCGGGCCAGATTCGCTAGAATCTGTGTTGAAGTGGACCTGAGGAAGAGCTTTCTATCTAAGTTTGTGGTAGGAAGCAAGGTTTATCCGGTTGGATACGAAGGGTTGCACCTTATATGTTTCAAGTGTGGTATGTATGGTCATAGAAAGGACCAGTGTCCTGCTGACCAGGTGGCATGTCCCCATCAGATGGATGGCAGCTCAGATCAGGAGAAGGGTTTGGCTGGTGGCCATACAATAGAACAAAAGGAGGTAAAAATGGAAGAAGCTTTTGGGAGCTGGATGGTTGTCTAGAGACAGCCTAAAAGTAGGAAGTTGAAGGCTATTCCAGTCCTTTCAGGAAAGGTGGTGCAGGTTCAGAATCCTACTCTTGTTGATCCTGGGTCTAAGGATTTGGCTAATTCTCATATGGTAGGGGGTGAGAGTAGTGGTTTGGAGGATCAGAAGGAGGCTGCTCTTGTAAGTATGGAGGCTGACGGTATTGGGGGAGATGTGGGTAGTGGAATTCCCCTTCTTAGTCCTGCGAAAGAGCTGGCTAGCAAGACTACTATAAAAGGGGTTAGTGTGGAATCCTTTGTCCTTAGTCCTCAGAAGAAAGGCAGAACCCTTGAGGCTGGAACTAAGAAGAATGTGCTTAAAGAAGGTAAAGATAGAACTAAACCTGGGATCAAACAAGCTTCTAAGAAGAATGGGATTGAGAATGTTCCCCCTGTCCCTGTGGCTGATGGGCTGTGCAAAGGTACAACCAGGAGTAAGCTTAAGAACGTGGCTGGCTTGGAGGTTTCCAATACATTGGGGTTTTCTATCTAGCAGTGTTAAAAAGGACCCTGGTGGTGTTTGCTGTGGTGAGTCTGATTCCAAAACATCTGTTCCAGGTTCAAGAACTGTGGAGAGCTTCACTAATTTGGTGGGTGGCTCACCTTCCCACCATGTAAATAGATAGCCTTTGGGGCCGTTGTTTTCTTTTTGTACAGATTCTGTTTTTTACATTCATGTCTGTCTTGTCTTGGAATTGCAGGGGGGTAGGTAAGTCTAGCTTTCCTATCCTTATTAGGGATTTAAAATTTAGATTTAAAGTTAGTATTATGGCTTTACTGGAGACCCGTGTGGGGGTTTTGAAAGGAGATGATATTATTAGGAAGCTAGGCTTCTCTAGATTTTTTAGGAAGGATCCTGTGGGTTTTTCTGGAGGTATTTGGCTGCTTTGGGAAGGCAACTCAGTGGATGTGGAGGTGTTGATACACCACCACCAATTTATCCATACCAAGGTGACCTATCTGGACTCAAAGAAGGTTGATTTTATCACTTTTGTCTATGTGGAGCACATAGTGTAATTTGTAAAAATGGTTTATGAACAAATTCTTCCCCTTCTCTCTCCCTCTCTTTAATTAAATCCAAAGAAAAAAGCGTAAAGTTTTAAGGTAGAAAAAATGTGCAAATAACAAAACTTAAATTTTACATATTATAAAGAAAGTGTGGGACTAAAACCTAGCTGAGCATATATGATATATCGATATAGTTTGAAGTAGATAATGTTTCCAAAGCCATCCGAGTACCCTATAGATATCTACTAAAATTAGTGCAGATTATAATGCAGGCATAAGGTTCTTCACAACATGAGCTACACAAACTGACAGATCTTAAAGAATGTTTTTAACGATAATGACCTTATTCAAGTGCATATACAACTAGTTGTGTGTAAATATATCGCCATGTGTTGTTTATCAGTCAAAATCATAAGAAATAAAGTTGATGAGAAATATTCCATTTGCTATATGATTTTCAGGCCACTCAGTGATTTCCATATATGTACATAAATGAAGTGTATTTTATATGTGTATACTATTTGCTAGCTTAGCTGCTTCTGTTTCTTAAGATTCCCCCTCTAAGCATAAGTTACTTTCTTTATATTTAAGCAAGGTAACATTCACTGGTCTGCTTGAGCTAAGTTTAAATGGTTTGAAGCATGAAAGATTAATCTTTTCTTTTAGCTTTTGTATGATTATCATGGAAAATTCTTCAACATGAACAAGACCCTCTTAACATGAAATTAGTTGGCAATTTTCAATTTCCAAACCTGGTAAGGAGTTTAACTTTTAAATATTTGTAACGTTCTCATTCAAAGGGAAAATATAGTGAAAGAATAGGATTGAGTCAGATCCTATTCACTAGTGATTGCTGGCACTGCTACTGATTCAACACATATGGATAAAAATTTATGTGATCAGCTTAGTAAGATAATCAAGTCAATAAATTGGAAAACGATTAACAATTTACTGAAGATAATTCAAAGTTCTTTTCTTTATATTATTACTTTAAATTCACAAAGGATCGGAAAAGATAACGTGTGGAGGTGTCATTATCAAATGTTTAATAACTTGTTGTGCTTATATTCCACTTTTTATCTTTACATTTTTAATAGCTTTATTCCATTGTGCTTATTATATTTATTCTTTTATTGGCTATATATGACAAAAAAAATGCAATGATGCTAAATTCAATGTTTTTTTTGGTGATATGTTAAATTCACTAATGTTGAACTTATTGGAGATTCGAAAGTTCTTATGCAGACATGTTTCTGCTTTATCTGGAGGGATACACTAAATACTATTGGACGTGAATATTAATTTTTAATTACTAGGTTCTTTCTTTATGTTTTAAGATGACGCTACTCCTGCGAGTATATATTTCCATTTCATGCGTTAATGAACTGGTTGTTGAGTTATTTATTTCAAAATTCTGCAGCACCTAATTTATATTATTTGTATCTGAGCTTCTTAGGTGGAGCGATTGTTGAGTTTAATTATAGATATGAAGTCCTCATGTCAGACTGAACTTAAAAGTCTGCTTATAAAGTGAATACCATTTTGTTTTGTCTTGCTTTTCTTTAAGAAAAAATACATCTTCATTCTTTTTTTAAAGGCGATGGCTGGTCCAATATTTGAAGGGATTTTTTTAATTTTATTATTTTAATGTCAGCAAATGACTGACTTATACATGCTTCGTCATTTTTCCACTTTCTAATCAAACTACATATAATTAATATGAATTAAAAAGCTGGCTGAGAGAGGGGCGGAACTATTTTGGTACATATATATACGCAGTGAGTTTTAATATTGTACTTTTTAAATATTTTTAAAAAGATTAAATATTTGATTTAGATAATGTAAAATTGATCATTTTCAATTGATACTTACCTTTCGTGGTAATTGAATTTGGACCTTGTATGAGAATTTATTGTCACTCTTTTTTATTTTTTTATTTTTTAAAATATCATTTTGTTAAATAAAATTAAATAAGTTGTTAATTTTCATCAAAAATTTTACAATTAGATTACTCATCAAATTAGTGTAAATATTATATATGATTCACTTGTCTGACTGTGTTCCAACCGGTGATAATTGAACATATATTTTTATTATAAACACATCAAGCAATAAAGCATATCATATTGTGTGTCTTGTAAGATAAAAGAATTAATAATAAGAGATGAAATAATAATAAATAAGAAAATATCATATTAAGTAAAAAAAAGAATAATCATTATATCCCTTGTATTTCAAAGGCTCGCGTTGAACAATAATTAAAATAACTAAATATACAGCATCTATAAAAATTAGGAAAATATGAGTATCATGTTACATGACATATTTTATGTCATACCATAAACATAAAAAGATGGGATTCACATTTTTTAGAATGTGCGAGTCTCCTCCTCTGTTTCCAAGATTTGCCTTTTGATAGTGATGAAATCATATCTTTTAATTTTCCATAAGATCTTTAACAGAATCTTCACTAAAATCTCTAATAATATATTTAATCAAAGCATTAAAGTCTTTCCTTTAATATTTAAAGAAAAACTTTTCTTAAAAATATTCAAGAGAATATTTAATAAGATCTTCAATCAATTATATGATTCAAAAATTCAAAACAAATCCACTTGAGCCTTCCAATTTAACTTTTTATTAAACTAACAATTCTTGCAAAATTTAAGAAATTTTATGAGAATATTACTGAAAATAAAATAACAGTTTAATTTCAATCTAATATCTTTTAATTATTTTTAAATCAATTTCATGGTCATATTAACTCTAAATACATAATAAATTGGATACGCTTCACCTTTCCTTTAAATCAATTCCACTGCTCAATCTTGCATCAACTGAGCTTCAAGATTTGGTAAAAAAAAAAATCTTAGCTACGCGAAACAGCTATACTTTTGTTCCTATAAGTATCGTTCTTCAAAGGCTTTTTTTCCTCAATCTTGCACCAACTGAGCTTCAAGATTTGGTAAAAAAAAAAATCTTAGCTGCGCGAAACAACTATACTTTTTATCCTTAAGTATCGTTCTTCAAAGGCTTTTTTTTCTCAAGCTTCTCAACCTTGCTAGCACTACTTCATATTTGTTATTTCGTTCGTTTTGAAATTTACTTGCCATCACACAGTACCCTTCTTGGCAAATTGTTCTCCACTCTATATCTAGTTATGGATATTGAGTCAACAACACAATTAAACAAGGCTGAATTTTTCTCTCATTGGGGGATCTGCCTAAAGGCTTTGCCTAGTAACTTCAAGTCCAAGATGATCAATGTCACAAGGAGTATAAAGAATATTGGCCAAGATGACCCCAAACGAGTAATTCACTCATTAAAAATGAGGATTGCTCTCACATTGGTGTCCTTGATTTACTACTCAAGGCCTCTTTATGATGGCTTCGGATTGGCAGGAATGTGTGTTGTTCTGACAGTGGTTTTCGTATTTGAATTCACCGTAGGTAAGTTCAGACATCGCATAAAACTTTGTATATAATATTATTGCACCTTATTACATAGTTAAAGAATAATGCATGAACATATACATTTCATTTGTTCCTGACCAGGTGAAACCCTCAACAAAGGTTTAAATGGAAGATGTGCTACACTATTAGCTGGTGCTTTAGGGTTTGGAGGCCAACACTTAGCTACTGTTTTTGGAGAAAGAGGAGAAACTTTTGTACTTGGGACCCTTGTCTTCATTCTAGGTACTATATATACAATTTGAACAAAGAAAAAGATGATTATATTTCTCAGCATGTATTTGAGGCCAGAAAATTGATATAACATTTGCTTCCCAAACAATGTATATGTGTGTGTGTTTAGCTTTAATTGTTTGTGTTCTATGTTTGCAGTTGCAGGGTCTACGTTTTTCAGATTTTTTCCCAAGATCAAGGTAAGATATGACTATGGGGTGGTGACGTTTATATTGACATTTTGTTTGGTTACTGTATCGGGTTACAGAGTCGAGCAACTCTTTGAGCTTGTTCATCAGAGTTACAGAGTTACTGTATCGGGTTACAGAGTCTCTGATGAACAAGCTCAAAGAGTTGCTCGACTCTGTAATCCGATACAATAACGAAACAAAATGTCAATATAAATGTCACCACCCCATAATCATATCTTTCCTTGATCTTGGGGAAAAAATCTAAAAAACGTAGACCCTGCAGCCGCAAACATAGAACACAAACAATTAAAGCTAAACACACACACATATACATTGTTTGGAAAGCAAACGTTATATCAATTTTTTGGCCTCAAATACATGCTGAGAAATATAATCATCTTTTTCTTTTTTCAAATTGTATATATAGTACCTAGAATGAAGACAAGGGTCCCAACTACAAAAGGTTATCCTCTTTCTCCAAAAACAGTAGCTAAGTGTTGGTCTCCAAACCCTAAAGCACCAGCTAATAGTGTAGCACATCCTCCATTTAAACCTTTATTGAGGGTTTCACCTGGTCAGGAACAAATCAAATGTATATGTTCATGCATTATTCTTTAACTATGTAATAAGGTGCAATATTATTATATACGAAGTTTTATGCGATGTCTGAACTTACCTACGATGAATTCAAATACGACAACCACCGTAAGAACAACACACATTTCTGCCAATCCAAGCCATCATAAAGAGGCCTTGAGTAGTAAATCAAGGACACCAATGTGAGAGCAATTCCCATTTTTAATGAGTGAATTACTCGTCTGGGGTCATCTTGGCCAATATTCTTTATACTCCTTGTGACATTGATCATCTTGGACTTGGTGTTACAAGGAAAAGCCTTTAGAAAGATTCCCCAATGAGAGAAAAATTCAGCCTTGTTTAATTGTGTTGTTGACTCAATATCCATAACTAGATATAGAGTGGAGAACAATTTGCCAAGAAGGGTACTGTGTGATGGCAAGTTAATTCCAAAACGAACGAAATAACAAATATGAAGTAGTGCTAGCAAGGTTGAGAAGCTTGAGGAAAAAAAGCCTTTGAAGAATGATACTTATAAGAACAAAAGTATAGTTGTTTCGCGCGGATAAGATTTTTTTTTTTACCAAATCATGAAGCTCAGTTTGCAGACGTGGGTTAGTATTAAAAGGTAGCATGAAGCATTCAATATCATCAATAATCCACTTTTCATTGTAGAAGTGATCCACAAACAGCGAGCAGGCTGTCAACATGTTGCAACCTTCAGAACCCCAGTTGACTTGGTTGATGCCATTAGCATATAAGATGTAAAATCCATTCTGATTACATTGACTTTCAATTCACCCATATATTGGAAAACAGGTGATAAGCTGCAGTTGAAAATATAAATGTTAGTGCTTTTCTAAAACTCCTATAATTTGCACCCTTGAAGACCAAATGATCAAAATGTGGGTGCATATGTAGTTTATATGTATCTATGATCTTGGAAAGTGCAATAAAAGGAAAATAAAGTATTATATTATTTCACTGTACAAACTCAACAATGAAATTATCACTTCATTGTCAGCCAATCGGACCCTAAGACCCAAACGCTTTGTGGTATTTGCTCATCCAATCTACCCAGCAATCAAATATAACGCTGATCAGAAAACCATTCTTCCTAAAAAGACTCTGATCCTAACAAAACGATGATAACTATGGGCTGCTGCATAAGAATTTTAGCCTTGTCAGACAGTAGTGGGCAGAAGGAAGGCAGAAAAAAAAAAAGTAAAATAACTTTTATATATATATATATAAATATACATATAAGGCTTTTATCGTTTCTCAAGCTGTTTGAGATAATTTTATCTCCGGCTACTAAATCATAACTGTACAAAGATAGATCAATGGTGATAAAGGAAGAGAAAAAAAAAAGGGAATCATAATCATTCAAGGGTAAATCAATTAATTATATAAGGAAATAAATAAATAAAACGACGTAATTTTGAGACAGCCGGACATAGACTTATCTCAAACTAGCTGGTTGAGGAATATTTTTCCCATATATATACACACACAAAAATTCATTAACAAAAACAAAAAATATCAATGAAATCAAAGCATTAAAAGAAGAAGAGGTCATCTTCATAATCTGTCCATAAAAGTGATTTCCTTTGAAGGTATAAGAATCATATAGCAACAAAACGTCACGCTCGATACAACTTGTTCAGAAATAATACAAGAAACAGAATCTCAGATTTTGTTCATTGTAATATACCAATAAAAAATATTGCTTCGACTGATCAAACCATTGACAATTTTCATTCCTCATTCTCTTATATAACAAACCGATCATAAAAGAAGAAAAAATGAAAAAAAAAAAAAACATAATTCTAGCTGCATTTCACCTACGAATTTGATGCAACGAAAGCAACAAGAAGAATTAGAAAGAAAAATTGTAAAAAAATATATAGAAAAGAGGAAGAACTCACGGTGTACGATAAATGGATAGAATCATAGAGGAATTAACAAATACACAACCACAGATCAGCCATGAGAATGAACTTTCTTGGAAAAAGAAAAGAAAAAACCGAATTTTAAGACAGAGATGAGGAGAGAGAAAGTTTTGGAGAGAGAAAATTCGGTTGGAGGAGTCTTCCTGCCAATTTACTGCTGATCTCATTGCCATGAATCATACAGATTTCACCATGAGAGAGAAAAAGAACGGTACTCCATAGAAAGAAAATCGAAGGAGGAGAAACCAAAGAAACAAATATATTAAAAATGAAAATTGTTTTTTATTTTAAATGATATAATTTTATATTATTTTTAGTAAAATTATGATGTTTTAGTATGTTTTGTCATTTTTTTATAAAATTAAGAAAAGAAAAATGGAGGAGAGAGAATGTAAAAACACATCAAAATAATATAGTTTCATTAAAAATACTATAATTTTGTATCATTTAAAATAACAAACACTTTTTCATATTAAATTGGGTAAGGATTTGTGATTTTAATTTTAATTTTTTTGTTAAATAAAGGATTTATGCTTTTAAAGAATATAAAATTATATTATTTTACTTAAAATTATTGTATCCAATGATAAGAGAAATGGTTTCCCAATAAAATTTAAGGGAATTTATCAGTCATGTAATAGTAAAATTAAATAATATTATGTGGGTCTCATGTATTATTTTTTCTTTCTTCCAAAATATTATCTTTATAGGAAATTTTTTTATTATCGTGTTACATGACCAATGGATTATCCTAAAATTTATGTTGGGTGAGAGTAGGAGATTTAGTGGGTCTCATGTATTATATTTTCTCTCTCCTTAGGGTTTTATTCTCTTCGAAAATATTGTCTTTATAGGAAAAAAATTTATTTTTCCTGTTATATGACCGATGGGATATCCTGAAATCTATAGTGAGTGAGAGTAGGAGATTTTTTTTTTAAATTAAATATTAAATAAAACAAAGTAATTTTAAGTACATTGACGATTCTTTTTTCCCTTCTTTTAAAGGATAAATATTTTCTAAATTTTTAAACAATTACTTTTTGGTAATATTTAAAAACATGTATTTTATAAATAAAAAGAATTAATATTTTTCCTCTTGAAAGATATAGAATTGTATTATTTTAATCAAAATTACTACACTTTATGGTGAGAAAATAGAAAATTATGGTGGAAAAAATTGAATATTTTTAATTTAAATATTAAATAAAAATTACTAATTTTAACTAAAATGAATGTCCTTTAAAAGGATAAATATTTTTCTCAAATAGAGATTATATTAAATAAGTAATTAAAATATAGAAAAATATTTATTATTTTAAAGGATATAACTTTGTGTTATTTTTTTTAACAAAATTACATTGTTTTGATGTATATTTGATGACTTTTTACATTATCTTTCCTTCATTTTTTTTTCTCTTTGCAATGGTTTCACAATAAAATTCAAGGGAATTTATCAGTCATGTAATAGTAAAATTAAGTAATATTTTGTGGGTCTCATGTACTATTTTTTCCATCTTCCAAAATATTATCTTTATAGGAAATTTTTTTATTATAGTGTTACATGACCAATGGATTATCCTAAAATTTATGTTGGGTGAGAGTAGGAGATTTAGTGGGTCTCATGTATTATTTTTTCTCTCTCCTTATGGTTTTTTTCTCTTCCAAAATATTGTCTTTATAGGAAAAAAATTTATTTTCCTGTTATATGACCTATGGATTATCCTGAAATTTATAGTGGGTGAGTGTAACAGCCAGTTACGTACCGGTATTGTTAACGTTGATTATGATATTAAGCGCAGTTACAATCACAACAATTCATTTATAAAATGCGAGTAAACTTTTTCATTTTCATTACGCAAGCATTCAAAACAATAATAAAGCGCAATGAATAAAACTGTGATTATAACTGAAAATTAAACGCGGAATAATTAAAACAAATGTGTAACTATCTTATAATACCTCTCTCAATTCACTAAGGGGTTCCCATAAATCCACTTAGCCAAAATCTCACTTCTACCGTTTTTATCTATCCGAATATGGTTCGGTATTTTGGATACTGCAGAAAATTCGCTTGTCGCGAACCTCTCATCTTTTAGTATGTTATTCTAGACTTAATTATCTTTCCGACAAGCTATCACATGCTCCAAAAAGTTTCAGTTTGCTCCGGTTACCACCGTTTGAAGTTGGACAAGCAAATTTGTCAGCCAACCTCAAACAGAGCTCCGAACAGTCCTCACTCTTTCAACGATTCCGGACAAACTACTCGACCAATTGCTCTCAAATATTTATACAGTGTAGTTGACATCTCAATCATCAAAATGGTGTATGGCATGTCCCTATTGAGATTTTGTGGAGGGAGATATGCTCTCCCAAAGTTCACCCGAAATCTACCATTTTGTAGAAATTTCCCCAGCATCTCCTTTGTTTTTCCAACATATCCCACATTTGTAAAAGTGTGTTATCTATCATCAAGGGTACCTAGTATTCAAGGGTGGCTCTAAAGGACCAGCAATGCCTTGGTGCTCTTACAACCCATTACAATTTATATCAATTCGCTTAATTTACAACTCATTAATTGCATTCTCAAACTTA